TATTCGTACACGACAGCACCGCGTGCAGTCGCCAAGCCGAATGTCGGCGGCGCAATCTGCGGAAAGTCACCGCCGGTCGCTAGCCCGCACGTACCAACGCCGCCAACGCCGCGCTGTAGCCGGAAGTAGCCCTGCTCGCCCCAGGACGTGCCCCACGAGTTCTTGAACTTGAAGAACGGGAGACCAGCGTCGATGCCGTAGCCGACGGCGAGGACCATGTGGTCGATCTCCGTGTCGCAGCCGGACGTGATGATGCCGCTTTGGTAGTTCTTGAAGACGGCGCTGGACGCGGCCATCGTCGCCGCGACGGGTTGCCGTCGCAGGTTGGTCTCGAGCTCCTTCTCACCGACCGACTTGCCAAGCGCTGTGAACGGTAGCTTCACGGGACTGCACGTCGTCTTGCACGTCTCCGTGACCGAAGTAAATTGGTTGCTGTATGGGTACGCGTCTTGCGTGCACACGCCATTCGCCAGCATCCAGTTGAGCGAGCGCAACGAGAGGCCACCGGTGCAGCCGCCGGGACCGCAGCTCGTGAGCTGTTGGTCCGAGTACGTTACGAGTTTGCGCGGGTTGCTCAAGAGGCACATGGCGCTTTCGACGGCCGCGACCGCTGCGTGGGCGTAGCACGAGCCGCACACACCTTGGTCCTTCACAGGCGCGACGCACCCAGACGGTGCCCAGTCCATCGAGTCGGTTGCGGTCGATGTCTCGAGGCGCGATGGGTCCGCCGTAGCTTGGACGTCGGCGCCAGCGCGCTTGATATAGGTGGCGAACTCGTCGTTGGTCATCGCAGCAAACGGGTTGTCGGCCGAGAAGGTCGCGCTCGTGTGCTTTTGGTTGAGCTCCGCAATCGTGATGAGCGTCTCCTTGAACGCGGCGAGCCGAACCGGGTCGGGACCGGCCTCCGCACTCTCCAGAAGGCCTTGCTTGCGAGCAAACTGGCCGGCGGGGGAGGCCTGCCACGCTTGGAACTGCTTGAGCACAGAGGCATCGTCGAGGTCAGTCGTCGCCGTCGCGTTAGTGGGTGGTGCTGTCGTGTCGAGCGCATGGGCGAGCGCGAGACTGAGAGACGAGGCGAGAAAGACACGCACCATGGTCGACAGAGGCAATTGAAAAATGAACGAAGTCGGCTGGCGAAAGCAGGGGTGGCTGATAGCAGTGTGACGTACGGTGTCGCCAATCCCCCGACGCTCTCGGCGCCAAAATTTCGTATTCCGACGGCTACAAGCGGCTTGCCAAACCAAGTTAGGCCGATCTCTTGTCAACATACCCAACCTGCTGTTGTTGCTGCTATACAGTCATGAGATCGCTCACTAGAATGCACCTTGTGGTACTGTAAGCTGGGTTCACTGCAAACATTGCGGCCATCACAATGTAGTAGCAGTTGTGGCTGCCAGCCACCAGCGCAAATCGTGCTTGTAGCCTCAGTAACCTCGAACACTCTCATCATGGATTTCTGACATTAGGAGGTTACCAAGTTGTCAGAGTTGAATTATATTTACACTGTGGGTCTTGAACGCCGGTGCACACATGGGCGACATGTGAGCAGCATCAGTGTCGTCGCTTCTGTGGACAGACTTGCAGTGGTCCTGAGCAGGATGGGTTCCCTGGTGTGGACCCTGGTGCAGCGAGCGACGTAGCTTGGACGGGCACACATCCACAACACAGCGGTTCGCTCAAATCAGCATCAGAGAAAATGACCCAAAAGATTTCACCCCATTTCATTGGCCGCATGTGAGCGATCTCATTGGTTGGCCAGCTTGAGTCGAATCGCTCACTCTTGAGTATTTCAAGTATTAATATATTTTGACGCACAATGTTACCATAAAGTCATGGGTTTCTGAGCATACAAGTGCACCACCAGTCGAGCCCTCATGCATCTCAAACTCAACATTGATTTTCCTCATCGGACTCGTTTATGCCAACCCTGGGTGTTTCGACTCGAGGGATCGTCGAGAGCTATCTTCGAGGAGCACAACAGAATCTGTCCTCGCATTACTTCACGGAGGAGATGGGGACGATCGTACTTCGACCGACGGCAAGCGAGCGATCAACATGTAGTTGGCTCGCATCGAAATGGCGCCAGAGCTAGCAACGCTGTTATCCCCGCGCATGCCACCGGCCTCTTCGGGCCACCGACTTTCGCCACTCGACTTCCCTGGATGACGCACTGAACCCTAGGCAGATCGTCGAGAGGCATAGTAAAGCGAGCGCGACGTCTACATACACGCTGTACCTACAGCTATGATGTCGCAAAGGATACCAGAAGCAGCCACGCGGGATCCTAGACGTATGTGAGGTAAACGCCAGTATTAAGATCGTCGTTGTATCTTAGAGGCCCCACGCCAGGACGTCGACAGCACTTGGTGGATTCATAGTATGCAAATGGAATGCCAATACAGTTGACACTGACAGAAGACTCCTTGAAGAGCAGAGCGACGTCCGTCAAAGCGGCTGTGCGCCTCGAGTGAAAAGCGACTCTTAGAACTAGACTCACTTGCTGCTCCTTGTTGGCGCACGTAGCGTGTGCACCTGTGTCGCGCGCGACGAGGCAACTCGCAGGGATGTCTTCGGCCCCTCGAGTCGAAGATCGCAACATGTTCTGTCAAACCAGATTTGCCCTTTGCCATCCATCCAAGGATGCCATGGCGACAAATGCCAAGCTGCCATCTCGCGTTCCCTCGCCCTTGCGACTTGGTGGCCGCAATGGCGGGCCAGTGCAAGCATGCATTTCCTCGGGGTGTACGATAGAAAACAGCATGCAAGACGCCAAAGGCGGCAACCTGCAAGGTCCGGCGGCGTGCCATATGTCTCGGATGGCACCCACGAGAAGGCTGCGGTCGTGGGTAGAGGATTAATGCATACTGATTCATTTCATCATCACGATCGATGTGGCGCTTAGTGCTGGTCGTGCTTCCACTTGAGGAGCTTCTCGACGGCGTCGGCCGAGACGTCCGAGCCGAGGATCTTGGCGATGTGCTTCTTCTCGGCGGCTTCGTGGGCCTTGGCGGCGTCCGTGCCGTCGACCTGGCCCTTCATCTTGGCGAGGAGCTGGCGGAGCGCCTTCTCGTCTTCCTTGCTACACATGCCACGTATCAATCGTCTCGTCCAGGAAGCAGCCGTCGCATGGGAGGCCTTACTTGAAGAAGCGCTTCTCCTCGGCCATCTCCTTCTCGGTCCACTTGTCCGAGAACGAGCGGGTGGGCATGGTGACCGCCGAGAACGTGGCGGGGGCGCGGGCGACGACGGCGCGGCGAATGCTGAGCATCTTGAACTGACTGTAGGGATTCGGAGGGATTTCACAAATGGAGGCGGTGGCCCCACATCTTTTCCAACAGCTGTTTTATACCGGCGCACGGCCATTTGGTTTCAGTATACGTGTTGTATTGAGCACAGGTGTTAAAAACACGCCACTTCAAGGCACACTATTTCGGTGCCCACGCGAATCCTACTTGCGCGACACGACACGAAGAGCCCCTTGGCCTCACAGCTCCTTTCTATGACCCTACTTGTCGTGATTGGAATTCGGTCATCGCCATACGCTTCGCGCTCGACCTGTGGCATATCTCTTCGTTGCTGGTTGACGCAGAAATAGTGTCATATGACGGAAACCGAGCGTGTCGGGTTTATGTTGCGGCGCGCTGGTCGTAAAACCACGCGTCAATTTCTTGCGGCAAGTTGCCGACCCAACTTCAACCATGCTTGGCTGGCGCCAAGGCCTCGTGCGTTGTCATCCCAGCGTCGCTGGGTGTAGAGCATGGTTCGATAGGGCCGCGTCTTGCATTGGAGTGGGCGGCGGGCTCACTTCTTAGGCATGAGCGGTGACGACAAGCGATAGAGCGCGACTTGAAGCTGTCATTCTTATAAAGCTGCCGCATAAAACAGGGCGCTGTGTGTATAAAGATCGCGCAGTTTCACGCGTCGTGGTCGTGGCGCTGTTGCGGCAACTCGCGCCCTTTTTGCTTCGGACACCAGGTACGACCAGGTTACGCACTGGGTCGTCACAGCGACCAGAATGGCGACGTGTGCGAATGACGCGGCGTGCGCTTTGGTCTTTACCTCGGTGCGCTGAGAAAGAACGTATGCACAGGTACTTGCGCCGCTGACAGGGGACGAATGAGATGGCAACAACATCCGACATCGAGAGGAACGTAGCTCTGACGTCGCCACGATAGGTTGCCAAACCGTTCAACCAGCAGCTCCCGAACCAAGGGTCGACGACATTCAAATACGACATACTACTACAGTATGGCTCGTGATGCCCCAAAAACCGCCACTACGCCGGGGCGGCTATTTGTGTTAGTGAGGTCGTTGGGCAGTGACCAGTATGCCATGATGGAAAGATCTATGAGAGTCCAAAACGCCGTAAGGTGCACCGTCGCTGCACGACTAGGGCTCTCGTTGCGCGGCATTTTCCATGCAGCAAACAGTACTCGTCGGCAAAGTCACTCTTCCAACGCGAGCTCGTTGGGCTCACAAGCGTATATCTCCATAGCCTCGGTGTGGTGGAGTTACTTCGCTCAGTAATATGCTAACTCTCTTAATAACTAGACCACTGGACTGAATATTGATCGAATTGATCGTCGAGCTTCGTGCTCACTAGGTGAAACGCCTACTACAGTGCCAGCTCACTCGCCTCTAACATACTCGAGATTGGCGCCAAACGATCTTGACGGGGGACTATCCGAGTAAAATCCGGATGATGAGGATCCCGATGCTGCAGAAGCGATGACGTCGACTTGCCAAGGATGCTTCATCGACCGAATTGTCCTTGCTCTTGGTCGGTGTCATCATGTTCAACGGTGTAGAAAGCGGTGTCGCCCGTGAGTTTGCCAGTGTAAACATACTCAACGCAAAAGCGTGACTTTTGCTTGATCCCCATCAAAACTCATGAATCGAAACTATTCATACAACGAGCTGACATTACGCACATACGTAGTCGGTTTAACGGAGGCGCTTGGGCACGCACTGCGAGTACCACTCGTCTTGCTTGACGCAGGTGCTGCCGCCGACGCATTCCGTGCTGCCCGTGTAGTCCTTGCCACCGCACTGCTCCCAGACCTTCTTACCGCCACCCGAGTTGGGCTTGGACGTTGGCTTGGTAGTCGGCTTCACCGTGGGCTTGGTCGTGGGGTGCACGGGCGTCTTGGACGTCGGCTTGGGCGACGGTGTCTTCGAGGGGATAGGCTTTGCCGTTGTCGGATCGCACGGCTCCTCGGTCGTCGGGCTGGGCACGTTGCTCGGCTTGGACGTAGGGGCGTCCGAGGGCGCCGATGTAGGCTTGGCTGAGCTCGGTGCCGGCGTCGGGTGCTGGCTGCTTGGCGACGGCTTCGGGTCCGACCCGCACGAGTCGCTGATGTAGATATCGGCGCAGTTCCAAAACTGCTCCTGGCCGTTGATGCCGACGCCCGGGTTGTTGCCACCAACGTACCACCACCGGAGCACGCAGTGCGAGTCACCGTCGCACTTGACGTCCGACGGCAGCTTGTACTGCATCTTGAAAAAGTCGGCACCGGCGGGGAGCTGCCACTGCTTCTCACCGTTGGGCTGCGACAGCGTCTGGAAGCACTCTTCGGTCTCCTTGTCGCCCTTGCTGTTGAGTTTGCAAAGGCCAAACTCAAAGTAGCCCTTGTGGTTGGCCGTGATCTGAACTTGGAGGTCGACCGTGGCGCCGGGGGCGTAGCATTCGCCAATGACCTTGGCGCCGTGGGTCGGGAAGAGGCCATACACGCCGCCAGTCTCGTGGGCACGGTTGCCGTTGTACGGGTCGCCGCAGATTCCGTGCTGACCACCCTTCGTCCCCTCGATGCCACCGCCGTTGAGGCCGTGGTCGGAATAGTCGGTGGGGACGTAGTCCTTGAACTGGGGCAACTTGCCAATGTAGCCGCGGTGGGGCGGCTTGACGAGGCGCCCGTGGGCTTCAACGTTCGAGATGGCAGCCGCCAGGAGGAGAGTCGTAGCAATGAGCTTCATACCGCTGCTTTGTTGTTGTGTAGTAGCCACCAAATTGGAAAATGAGCTCCAGATATCGAGTTTGCCTCTGCATTTGACAGCCTGAATCCGGCGTTGCACGTGGTTCACACACGTAATATGAACCTGCAGTGGGATATGAAAAAGAATTCCTACCCCTACTGGCAAAATGTCTATCGCAGACCACTGTACACACTCTGGAAATACAGAGGGTATAAAGGAACGGCATGCTGTATGCACCGCGTGCCACGTCATGGTGTGTCGCCTTGTAGTTGATTTAGAAGGTTCTGTTGATGTGCTCGCACATGGATCTCGCCGAGACGAACAGCCCGAAACACGCCAAGGAATCCCGTTACTGCGGTGCTGGTGAAGTCCGACACCGACCGTCCACCCCATAGCCAAATCTACTCGCATTGACTTTGCTTCGACGGCTTATGACGTGGAGTATATCATAGAAATGCAGTGCAGTACATGCTCTGATCTGGAAAATCGGAGCCGAGAAGGCAACTGGCTATGAGGATATGATTCCAACACAGTAGTACGGTGCACACAATACTATGCGCTGGATGCCTCCAAGACCCAGTGTATTGGGTATCGATGGGACAAGCCTTGGAACGCAAGTACTGAACGATCCTCAAAGGAACAACACCCATGACAACGGACCTCTGAGCGTTGCTCGGAGCATCGACCCGGCGTCGGCGTACTGGCCAGTACCACAACGGCTAGTACCTAGAGCCAAGAAGGTGCGGCTCTTGTCGACTTGTTTTAGTCGAGCGGTTCATACGCTGGTATATCGCCAGGCAGATCCGTCGTCGAGTCCCGGAGTGCGCCCCACTTTCTGATTTGTAGTATGCCCCGCAGACAGTTATCTTGTTTTGGCGCCAGTCTCAGACTCGACAAGGTCAACGACCGTGTACGAGGCGCGCATGACTTCCTCAGAGTGCGAAGACGTCGCCTCTGGCTGTGGCCACGGGTAGATGCATTATACGCTTGCACATTCTTGCTGTTTGCCGTTGAGAGTGATTCTCTCCCGCCAGAATCAACCAAAACGCTTCGTATCCGGACGTGATGTTGTCCGGATAGTGGATTGGCACCAGTCACATCCATTCGACAAGATGGCAACGCCGGAAGCCGAGACGACGGCGTACGAGCTCGATGCGACGGAGCTGGCGCTCGCGGCGTGGATCAAGACGCGTAGCGCCAAGGAGGCCAAGCGGCTGCAGAAGATGGGCGTCAAGTGCATTCCGCTCGGTGTCAAGAACATGGCGATCGTCCGCGAAGACAACGACGTGGTCCTGAACCGCGTTGAAGTGGACACAGCCTTCTCCATGAACCTCATCGAGCAGATCATGGTCGCCGACGAGCGGCGCGACGTGCCTGACAAGGCCGGCTACGTGTATGTCAACGTGCTCTTGCTCGCCAAGCCGGCGTCGGCGACCAAGCAGCCCGTGGCGCTCGTCATGCCGTACGTCTACGACGCCAGCGTCAGTGCCAACACGCTCACGCAGTGGGTTTTCATCAACAACGATTTCGAGCGCTCGCAGCACATTGTCGAGGCCTACACCTAATCTAACTCCATTTCGTTCTCCATTGCTCTTTGTCTCGCAGCTAAAGTCACCAAGTTAGACGTTGGCCTTGGCCTCGAGGTCTCGGATCGACTGGTTGGTCTAATGCCACGAGCATTCCTCATGAGCGTCCGCTATACATAACACAGGGAGTACCTCGTTGAGCGAGTCTTGGAGCTGGGCCTTCTGTTGCTGCAGCGTCTGGTCCTTGACTTGGAAGCGCTGCTTGAGCACAAAGTTGGTCGCGGATGAAATGCTCGCTTGGTTGGTCAAGATCTCCGTCTCGAGGTCGTGGAGCTTCTTTTGCAGCACTTGGCGCTGGCGCACAAACGCCACGTACTGCGGGTCTTCCTGGAGGTTGTACTTGTCATCGTCGTCGTCGTCGTCCATGTCTTCGTTGAGCATGCGCTCCATGTCCTCGTCAAAGTCGTCGTCTTCGGCCGACTTGTTGCCGCTGTTGGTCGGCGTCGACGCGGCGGTCGCGGGCTTGCTCTTCCCGTCGTCGTCCATGTCGTCGTCCTCTTCCGAGAGCACGTCCGCCGGTGTTCGTGCATCTTCGATGGCCTGTCGGCGCTCGGCGAGCACACTGCCAGCGCTGTTGCCATCCTTCTCGTTCGGGTCCTTCTTCTTGGAGATCGTCAAGTACTTCATGTTCCATGAGCGCACTCCTCGTCTGCAAAGAGCGCCGTACCTCGGGGTGCTGCACGATGAGGTCCATTTCATCATAAACTACAATGCCCTGGGGCTCGGCGTCGGTGACCATCCAGTCGCAGTAGTCGACGAGTTCTTCCTCTACGCATCGAGGACTCGAGTAAGCGATGTCATCGCGATGGGAGAAGAGCGAGGTCGACGTACGCACGTCCTCGATGACGCCGCCGCCCATGATGCGGATCAAGCTGTCTTCGACGCGCGCCACGTCTGTTTTCTACAGGGTTGCTTGAGTCCAACGCGAGAAGGACTACGAATGCCAACGGGAAAGGTCGGGTACTTCTTGGTCTTGGAGTACTTGCGCTTGACAATGTTGGTGGTCGGCGGCGTGATGCCACTCGGGAGCTCGGCGACGTCTTCGTAGAGCTTTTGCTTTTCCGTGTTTTCGTGCACCATAAAGATCTAGTGCATGGTCGTCGGAAGCGCTGCGAGGACGCAACCATACCTGGCCAATCTCGCCGCTCTTGTAAAAGAGGTTGTCGTCGTACGTCTTGTGCGTCTCGAGGATGCACGGCAGCTGGTCTAGAGAGCACGCTGCATTAGGCCACGCAAGCTATGGCGGCGGCGCGTACTCAGCGTCACGGGGTACTCTTGGTCGCCGAGGTGGAACTTGAAATGCTTATTGTCCGCTACGAAGACGACGACGATGAGATTCGCATGGCGGCGGATGCTGGCGCGCCTACCGCCGGCAACCATGTCGACGCCCTTGATATCCTTGTCCTGGATCTTCTTCCGGAGCTCCGTGCCCACCTTCTTGGGCACGCGGAGCAGGTACTGTTCCATCATCTTGGCCTGCCAAAATGCGACTGAGCGGAATCGAATGACCGTTAATTGTCTTTTATACCCGACAGTATCGAGTTCAAGCTTGTATTTATAGCCGACACGCGACATGTGTCTCCTAAGCGACCAGGGAAAATCAACTGCGCTCATTATTGACCCTTCAGTTGACCCTTGCGGCTTTGCTGCGCTGCTTTTTAGCGAGAATAGCCACCATCGCTGCTGCTGATATCAGTACTGTAGTGCCAATGGACACCAGAGCTGACACTAGCTCATGACAATGACGGTCGCTTAGTACGCGTGATTTTAGAGATGATTGATCATTGCGTGTTGTTATACCCGCGATATAAAAAAAGACTAATGGCACCCCTCCATTCCATGAGGAGGATGGTGCTCCATGTGACATGGCCCTCGTCCCAGCCGAGACCTGCCCAACTGCGTACAGCTGTAGCTTGCTGCGGCTACATCCAGCGTCATTGCGATCTGCGCACGTTGCGAGTGCGTGCTTCAGTGAGTCACGGTGGCCACGCCTGGACACAGCCAACAACCGACCGGTATCCGGACAGCCAAATTTTATTTCCACGTCACCTTTGTCGGGCGCAGAAGGATGACGACGACGACGGGCCGCTTTGAGCTGCACGTGCTCTCGGACCAGAGCCACCTCGCGATCTCGCAGAAGAACGTCGACCAGTGTCTCCTCCTCGAGCGCAATGCGACGAGCCCCAACTTCCTCATGCTCGAGGAAGCTGCGGACCTCAAGCACACGCACGGGCGGTCGCTGCCCTTTGACGCCATCTTTGGCATCTACAATTTGCTCAAGGGCCGGTACCTCGCGCTCGTGACCAAGTCCAAGAGCGTTGGCAAGGTGCATGGGCTCCGTGACGACGCCGACGTCGACTTTCGCCAAGTGCTCGCGATCGAGCTTGTGCTGCTTCCGACGCACGACGTTCCGCTCTTGAGCGCGGCGCAGCTCCACGACGAAGAACGGTCGACGTCTCTCTGACCGCCACATCATGCTGACGCTCATGTAGGTATGTGCAGATGCTCACGACCAACGTCGAGGCGCAGCTGCTCTACTTTGCGTACGACTTTGACTTGACGCACTCGCTCCAGCGCATTGCAGCGCTCTCGCCGCTGCAGTCGGTGGCCGAGCGCGCCGACACGCGCTTCTGCTGGAACTATGCGGCCTCCACGTTCCTCCTCGAGAAGAAGCTCTTTGAGTGGGTCGTGCCCATCATGCAAGGCTACATTGAGGTCGTCAAGCAACTCGCTTGCTCGTCCAAGGCGTTCGATGTCGTGTACATCTCGCGCCGATCGTGCCGCCGCCAGGGCTTGCGCTTCACCATGCGCGGTATCGACGAGGTACGTCTTCCGGCCCGTCCATTGATCATCATCATCATGCCACGCTCGTGTCTCTTGTATAGGATGGCAATGTGGCCAACTTTGTTGAAACCGAGCAAGCGTGCCTCTTTGCAGATGGTCGCCAGACTTCGTTTGTGCAGGTAGACGCTCTTCGTCTCGAGAAAGAAGCTCGCTGACGACGCGGACATGTAGATCCGTGGGTCGATCCCGGTGCATTGGAGCTCACCGGTGACGATGAAGTACGCGCCCAAAGTCTACCAGCGCGGCAACCTCGACAAGGTACGACGAGGTGGCCAAATGCCAAGGACTCATGGACGCCGATAGGACACGCTGGCGTTCGCGGCGCACGCGAACGAGCTCATCAAGCTCTACGGGCGCGTGATCATGGTCAACTTGATCGACAAGAAGAAAGAGCAGCTGCGACTCGGCGAAGCATTTGAAAAAGTGTGCGGCCATGCGTCGGCGTGCGACACGCACATTTTGGCCAACGTTCGGTGCGTATGACGAGTGGTCGTCATAGGTCTTATATCTACGGCAGCTACGTCTGGTTCGACTTCCACCACGAATGCCGCAAAATGCAGTGGCACAACCTGAGCAAGCTCATTCAGCAAGTCGACAATGATTTCTTAGACTACGGGTACGGCTCTTTTGCTGTCTTGTTGAGATGGTGGCAACGGCGGCTAGGTACTTCACCAAGGCCGCGACGGGCCAGGTATTGACGACGCAGTCGGGCGTCGTGCGCACCAACTGCATGGACAACCTCGACCGCACCAACGTCGTGCAGGTACACGTATCCTTATGTGTTGTGCGGCACGACTAAGATCGAGTGCTAGTCGCTCTTTGCGCGCCGGAGCTTGCTCTTGCAGGCCAACGAGAGCATCGACGGCGACGTCCTCTCGTCGCCATTCCCGTCGTTGGAGGTCGCGTTCAAAAACATGTGGGGCAACAACGCGGACGCCATCTCGTTCCTGTACGCGGGCACGGGCGCGCTCAAGACGGACTTTACCCGGTACAATCAAGTTGCACGATGCGCGAACGACTAATGTTGCTGCAGCACGGGCAAGCGCACGAAGAAGGGCGTTGTGCAAGACATCTACAACTCGTGCCTTCGGTACATCCTCAACAACTTTGCGGACGGGTCCCGCCAAGACACGATCGACTTGCTCCTGCAGCGCTACGTGCCGAGCCGCCACAAGAACTCGCCGTTTGCCGACGCGGCGCCGGTCTCGCTCCAAGCCGCGCTCATGACGTCGACGGTGATCGTTGGCAGCGTCTTTGTCGGGCTTCTCTTTTGGGACCGCCACCTTGGCTTTATGTTTGAGCGGCTCGTGCACGCCGCGTCGCTCGTGACATTGGTCGGCGGCATCGTGTTTGGGTACCTTCTCAAGAAGGGCACCAAGCTCGGCGAGCGCTTTGTCGCACGGCCAGCGCTCCGACCGCAAGACGGCTGCAGCTGCAAGTGGCCGTAAACGACGTCGTGACGCATCCTCCGAGCTCACCGAATAAGCCAGACTTCAGATTTGCTACCGGTATCCAGATTGGTGTTGAAGAACCGGGAATTGATGCTGCGCGTTTCTTTATTTTCGATCGTGGGATCGTGTAAGAATAAGCGTCAAGAATAAGATCTCGGAGAGCACGCACGGGGCATCATCGGTCGTGGTGACTGGCTGCAGGGACTTGTAGGGGCGCCTGCGGACGGTCCCCAGGGACCCTGGAAGATAATGGAGCATGGACACGAGAAGGATGCGCGGTGCGTTCTTGACATGTTCTGGACGCGACTGGACCAACATGGCCTTTCCCAAGTTGCACTAAGAAACGCAGCTGGTACTAAGAATTGGATATCGGTCCTCGGTCACGTTATTATTGAATTGGACCTTACAAGTTGATGCTGTTCCCGCTACCCACAGATACGAGCGCGATGGACCCACTGGACGTGCTCTTGTACGCAGCGGCCATCATGTACGGCCTCGTGTGCATCTTTGGCGGCTACCGCCGCATCGAGCTCGTCATCGCCGGGCTTCCACCGCTCACAGTCATTGCGGCCGCCGACGCATTTGACATGAGCCGCTTTACAGGCATCTCGGTTGCGTTTCTTGTGCTCATTCTGTGTCTACTCGTGCACGCGTCGCTCGTCCGAGACTATGCAGCGTCCTACTACGGCCTCGGGCTCTTTGCCTTGTACGTGGCCACGCTCGCGCTCGCGTTCGACTACACCTTGGCGTGCCTCCACGTCTTTCCATTCGTCTTGCAGCTCTGCCTCTATGCGGCCACGGCGCTTGCGTTTGTTTTCTACTGTCGGTACGCTGCGCGCACCAGTGAGCGGCTCCGACTCATCCACACGACGACGCTGCTTGGGGCGCTTGTGCTGGCCGAGACGTTCAACAAGGGCCACACGGAGCGCGACCAAGTCCAGTGCACGCTGCTTTACACGACAGGCGTCGTGGTTGTGACGCTCTTTGGCGTGTGGTACCAAACACGGTTGCTCACGCCGGACGCGCGGCTCTCGCTCGTGAGCACAGCGGTTTCTGAGATTTTGACACCGCGCCCCGAGGTCGACGAGTGGGTCACGACGCCTTATTACATGGACGTGCTCGTGCAAGACGAAGCCGAGCTGGATGCGATGAAGGCAGCGATCTGCCGCAACGAACGTCTCGGAGTCTAATGGCCGCAGGATGTGCAGGAAGATGTGGCGCAAAGCCCAGCCGCCAGGATTAGGATAGTTTACACATAGCAAGGTAATTTAGTAGTAGTATACACTGTGAATCATAGTATGTGCGACAGTGCAGCATCCAAACGCCACTTGTGGGTGGCGAGCTCCGCGTGGGCGTCTGCGTTCGAGGCCTGTCGCCACCGCGGAGCTCGTGGATGCAAGATGTGCCATCGCCATTGACACGCAAATCCCATTGGCTGAAAAATCAGGAGTGTGACCAATCAGATCCCGCCAGTCTAACTTTGGCGTGATGGTCTTTGACGTCGCCAACGTGTACCCGAACCTCTCGGCGGAGCTCAAGGGTCGGTCCGTCGCGCCGCGACTCACAACGGTACGTCTCTATATGACGTACGGTGTTGACGCAGCAACTCGAGCAGAAAGCGGCGTTGGACGCTACCCGACGCAGTAGCACGCAACCGCCCCCAGCGACGGCGCCGGCCGCCCTGCGCCGCCAATCGAGCGAGTCGCATCTTGTAAAGCCAACGCGGCAAGATACGCCAAAGCCAACATGTGTGAGCATTCCAGCGCTCACTCTACCCGAGCCGAAAGCACGGCGTCGGCAGCTACCGACAGCTGCGATGACCGACGACACCAAGCACCAGCTCGCCAAGGCGCGGAGCCAGCTTCTGAAATCGCCGCTGATCGAATCTGAGACCAACAACAACAACAATAGCTTCCACCAAGCGCCATTGACAGCGAGTGCGTCCACACCGATGCTTCCGTACGAAGGTTTTTATCAGTCTTGTGTGTCATGCTGCTGCGTAGCCGACGGATCTCGAGCTCACCAGCGGAAACAAGTGTGCTGGAACGAAGTCTCTTGTATAACGTGGGCATACGGGCAAGTGCGTCCATGCACGAGCTACTGCCGTACGTCACAGAGATATCGAGTGGCCACCCATATACGAGCATTGACCGTACTAGCATTGCGAGCAAGCCGCGAGCTCGGTTTGCCCGGCGCCAGCTCACGCCCAACGGCACGCCGCTGCCATTGCCGCGGGTGTCGCAGCGGTGGCAGCCGCCAAAGATCGGGTTTGGTCTCGAGCTGCCGCTCAACAATGAAGCCGTCGATGCGACGCCCGAGGACGCAGGTTTCTTCCTCACTGAAGTCGCGATTCCGGGAGCGTACGTGCCCGTGACGGAGCAGTTGGCGCTCGCATCGTACCAGCTCTACGCGTGCAACGACCTCACAGCCGCGGTGGCGACGCTTCAGGGCGTGCTTCGTCTAGCTGTGACGCTCGACGACGTTCCACTGCAAGCTCTTATACACCACCATCTCGGGACGGCGAAAAAAGAGATGGGGCACATTGCCGCGTCGATTGCGAGCCAACTCGAGTGCATTCGCCTCGCCACGTTCGTGGGCCACGCCAAGCTGCAGGGCCGCGGGCTCAAGGGTCTCGGCGTTGCATATGTGAGTACGGAGCAGTACAATCGAGCGTACGAGTGCCACACCAAGTGCCTCCTACTAGCGGCCAGCGAAGGCGACTTGGACCTCGAGGGCCGGGCCCACGCCAACCTCGGCAACGTCTGCTCGGCGCAAGGGCAGATGGACCAAGCGATTGAGAGCCATTTGAAGGACCTCGCGCTCATGATCGAGCTCGACTCGCATGCGGGCCAGGCCCGCGCGCACCACAACCTCGCGCTCGTGTACGAGAAGATCAACCACCCGTCCAAGCAAAAACAGCACGAGAAGATGCGCAAGGCACTCGGTACGATGCCGTTCGTGTACGACATGCTCAACCACGCATATGACGCCGTCGGCAACATCTACCTCCAAATGGAGTCGGACGCGACGCCAATCGCAAAGAAGGTGGGTGACGCGCTACGTACCCTCGCGCAGTCGTCGTAGCTGCTCATTGAAACGCAACTTGTCGTTATTTGATGGTACTGATGGGAGACTATCGAGATGGGAGTCGTTGGATAGATCTTTGCATACGGGTACATCGCCTGAGGTTGTATTTGCGCCAAATCACGGCATCTATCTATCTATCTATCTATCTATCTATCTATCTATCTATCTATCTATCTATCTATCTATCTATCTATCT